AACAACAAGGCTTCCTTTTGTTGTTCTTTGCTTGTTTTTTTGTTTGTTCAGTGACTTGGCTAGACTATTTCGGTGATGTATATTTTCTCTGCAGAGAGCCTCTGATGTTATTCCTCCCAGGGCACCTCCTTTGGGCATACACACAGTCTCCCTGGAAAGACAGTGGTTCTAGCAAAGCTGTCTGTCTTTCCCCCGATCTCTCTGGTTATCACACCCAGCTGTTAGGTTTCACTAGTTGCTGGCTGATTATTCTACTGGTTTTTTTTTTAATTTAAATTTATTTTTGGCTGCAATGGGCCTTTGTGGCCGTGCACAGGCTCCTGCCTAGCTGCGGTGAGCAGGGGCTGCTCCCTTGTTGCCGTGCACAGGCTTCTCATTGCTGTGGCCTCCCCTGCTGCAGGGTACAGGCCCCAGGGCTCCGTAGTTGTGGCCCATGAGCTTAGTTACCCCACAGCATGTGAAATCTTCCCGGACCAGGGATGGAACCCACGTCCCCTGCATTGGCGGGTGGATTCTTAACCATTGAACCATCAGGAAAGCACCTATCCTATTGTTTTTGACAGTGCCTGGGATATAAATTGCTTTACATTCAGATTCTATTAAATTCAGTCTAGGGTCATTTCTGAGGCCAAGCTTTGAATTTGTCCTGACCCCCTGAGGACTCCTGTTAGTTATCTCTTTCCCTAGTTCTCTTTTGTTAGACAGTGAACCTAGGGTTTAATTTGTTGACATGGTGGGGCTACTAGTCTCCTTTTCATTGCTTACCACCAAAATCCCCATTGTTGGGGATATCCCTGGCAATCCAGTTAAGACTTTACCTTCCACTGCAGGGTATGCAGATTTGATCCCTGGTCAGGGAACTAAGATCCCACATACCTCACAGCCAAAAAACAAACAAACAAACAAACAAAACCCTACTAAAACATAAAACAGAAGCAATATTCCAAAACATAAAATAGAAGCAATATTGTAACAAGTTCAATAGACTTTAAAAATGGCCCTCATCAAAAAATTATTTTTGATCTCCATTGCTTGCAGAGTGTCCTTCGTCATGAACTACCCCCCCACCCCCACCTCCCTTTCTGTTCCAAATAAAGTCACTTTCTGTGGGAAAAACCTTTAAGCTCTCTGTTCTCATCTATATCTCTGAGCCACAGTTTGGGAGCTGGAGGCAAGGACAGTGGAGAGACTTTCTCAGAATGCCACTACTGCTTTATTATTATTATTATTAACAGGACACTTGGCAGGGATGGTAGCCTCGGGTCTTCTTGGCATGCTTCTTCCGGCATGGAAAATCTTCACTACAAGCAGGCTGGAGTGAGGCTGATGGAGACCCCCGTATTCTCAGCTTGCTGTTGCTGAATGGAGCCTCGGCCCCATGACTGAAGCTGGGTTGGAAGAGACAGTCCCTAGCCTCTCGATCGCACTTGCTTTTCCTCTATCCATCTGAGACAGGGAATTGAGCGGGGTGAGTAAAACTGGAAGCCTGCCCCACTGACAATGATGCTATATAGTCGTCGGCTGGAGAAGGGGGATGAGGGAATCCGGCTTTTATTTTTTATTTTTATTTTTTTTTAGTTTTTAAGGGTCTTCCTTGTTGAGCGAGGGCTTTCTCTAGTTGTGGCAAGCAGGGACTACTCTCCAGGGCTGCTTGAAGTCTTCTCATTGTTGTAGCTACTCTTGTCACAGAGACGGGCTCTGTGGTGCGACGGCTTCAGTAACTGTGGCCCATGGGCTCGGTACTCGCAGTGTGTGGGTTCAGCTGCCCTGAGGTGTGTGGGATCTTCCTGAACCAAGGATCGAACTGGTGTCCCTTGCATTACAAGGTGGATTCTTAACCACGGGACCAGTGGGGAAGCCCAGGAACCTGTCTTTTTGCAACACCCAGTTAATGTTCCTTTCATCACCCAGAGTTGGAGGTACATACGGAGCATCATTCCAAATCTCACAGACTTTTGCTGTTCTACTAATATTCAGTGTATTTCCTTAAAGAAATATTTCTTCTTTTTTTTTTTTTGGCCACACAGTGGCTAGCATGCGGGATCTTAGTTTCCCTAACCAGGGATGGAACTTCAGAGTCTTAACAACTGGACTGCCAGGCAGGTCCCTAAATAAATGTTTCTTTGTAATCCATTTAGAGTGACAGAAATGAAAATTTCTTTCCTGCTTCTCTGGAACCACAGGAGAAGGTTTTCTAGTTTCCTTAACTGGATAGCCCTTAATATCACCCAGTTTTTAGTTTTGTGTGCGCTAAGTTGCTTCAGTTGTGTCTGACTCTGCAACCCTATGAACTGTAGTCCACCAGGCTCCCCTGTCCACGGGATTTTCCAGACTAGAATACTGGAGTGGGTTGCCGTGCTCTTCTCCAGGTTTTTAGTTTTAGTCTCAGTTATCAATCTCCACATCATAGAAGCCAAGAATGGCAACCTCACCTGAATGGTGACTTAAAGGTCATCACCAACTCCCATAGCCTCTATTACACCCAAAGATTAGGCTCTGGCTTCCAGGCCCTTCATTATTTCTGACACTTGTGAATTTAACTTTGTCTCAGTCAAGTTCAGCTACTAACTCATATATTGCTTTCCAGAATATCTGATTTTTCTAAAGGGCAACATGCCCTTTGAAAAACATCAGGGGACCAAATTTGTGCCAGGTTCTACATTTAGGAATGATGCCAGGACAGAGAGCCCAATCCATCTGATGTTCTTCCAAAGATTACAGTCCGCTGGGGATGGGGACAATTTAACTGCAAGAAGGAAGTGAGAAAACTGGTAGGACCTGACCGGTGATCCTCATACTGAGGAGTCCCAATATATTTCCAGAAGGAAATAACATTTCAGATAGGTAAGGAAAGAACAAATCCTTTACTTATTTAATATTTTAATATTTAATATTTTATGGAGCATTGTTGTTTTACCATGTTGTATGGGCTTCCCAGGCGGCTCAGTGGGTAAAGAATCCACCTGCAATGCAGGAGATGCAGGCAGACGTGATTTCGATCCCCAGGTCTGGAAGATCCGCTGGAGGAGGGCATGGCACCCCACTCCAGTATCCTTGCCTGTAGAATCCCCATGGACAGAGGAGCTGGGTGGGCTAAAATCCATAGGGTGGCAAAGAATTGGACACAACTGAGTGAGCACACACCCTGTTGTGTTGGTTTCAGGTGTATAGCAAAGCCATTTAGTTATGCATATACATGTATGTGCTAACTCTCTTTTAGATTCTTTTCTCATATAGGTTATCACAGAGTATTAGGTAGAGTTCCCTGTGCTATACAGTAGGTCCTCATGGGTTGTCTATCTTATATAGAGTAGGATGCACGTGCTCATCCCAAGCTCCTGATTTATCCCTCCCAGCCACCATGTTTCCCCTTTGGTAACCATTTGTTTTCAAACTCTATACAGTCTGCTTCTGTTTGGTAAATAAGTTCATTTATATCTTTAAAAAAAAATAGATTCCAAATGTAAGTGATATCATATGATATTTGGCTGAGTGAATGAGTGAAAGTCAGTCACTCAGTTGTGTCTAACTCTTTGCGACCCCATAGAGCCTTCCAGGCTCCTCTGTCCATGGAATTCTCCAGGCAAGAATACTAGAGGAGGTTGCCATTCCTTTCTCCAGGGGATCTTCCTGACCCAGGGACTGAACCCTCATCTCCTGCCTCTTGTGGGTCTCCTGTATTGGCAAGAGGATCCTTTACCAATGAGACACTTGGAAATCCTGACGGTACACAGGAACCAATGGGAGGGAAATCAAAAAAGAAGGGGATATGTGTATATGTATGACTGACTCATTTTGCTATGTAGTAGACACTAATACAACATTGTAAAGCAGCTATGATGCTGTTATTTAGTCAGTAAGTCATAGCCGATGCTTTTGTGACCCCATGGGCTGTAGCCCACTGGGCTCCTTTGCACCTGGGATTTCCCAGGAGACAATATTGGAGTGGGTTGCCATTTCCTTCTCCAGGGGATCTTCCCGACCCTGGGATCTGTTTGAGTCTCCTGCGCTGGCAGGCAGATTCTTTACCACTGAGCCACCAGGGAAGCCCAAAGTAACTATACTGAAATAAAAATTATTTAATAAAAAATAAGCTTATATCATAAATACTATATGCTAACAAAAACAGTAGACAGGGACTTCCCTAGTGGGCCAATGGTTAAGACTCTGAGCTTCCACTACAAGGGGCTTGGGTTCCATCCCTGGTGGTAGAACTAAGAACCCCTGTATCACAAGATGCAGCCAAAATAGGCAAACAAAAAGAAAACCAGAAGACAACTTGAGTGACTACAGGTTCAACATGCCTTGCAATCAAGTTGGCAAACTGGCCAATGGCAGGATGAAGTTCTATATTTGATTTCCAGCAATTTCAGCCCAGCAGCTCTAGGAGAAAGGGGTCAAGAAACTCTTAAGTCATTAAGGCAGCACTTGGGCTAAAAGTTTGAGTGCCTGAACTCACCTTTTTCTTTCACCACTTTGTCTGATGACATTAGGAGCAACCAACCAAGGTCATTATATTCCTTAGTTTCTCCCCAGATGTTCAAATGTATTATCAACAGAGTCACATAGAACCCTGCTTGTTATTTTAAGTGGTTGATTAGGCGTATCTAACAGATATTTTGCCTAACCCTAAACCATGGACTATCAGTGGTCTCTTTACAACTGGGAGGTCACTAGTGTCTTTTATTTCGGCCACACCACACAGCTTGCAGGATCTTAGTTCCCCAACCAGGGATCAAACCCGTTCCCCTGAAGCAGAATTCAAAGCCCTAGGTCTCCTTTTAAATGCATTTCAAACCAGAGGCTTGGAAACATAAAACTGCCAGCCAATGTCCTGTACTTTTCATCTGAGAGATAAACTTGAACAGCATGCTCTCAGGTTGAGGAATGATCAAGCATTGACCAGGTGAGGTTGATTCCTATCAGGTTGAAGGGATGTTGGGGTCACCAGTTATTTAAGAAGCAAAATGACTTGGTCAGCCACAGCAGAGCAAGCTACCATGGCACTACGTTTGGAGCTCTTTCTGATTTGGGCTGGCGTGTCTATGTTTCTACAACTGGACCCTGTGAATGGAGGTGAGAGAGGAGAGATGGGCTAGAATTGGTGAGGAAGACCCTGCCCTAGGCATGGACTGATAATTAAGGTCATGATACTAATATAGCAGTGATAAATCATCTCCCATTTCTTGAGTATGTCCCAAGGGACAAATGTTATGAAGGGCTTCACATTTTATTTAAGATTCAAGAAACTCTATGAAATTGAAACACAGATGAGTTTGACAGCAAAACTAAAGGCCTTTTTGAGAGCTGCCCAATTCCTGCATCTCCATTGCACCATCCCAGACACAGGCAATCTACTCCCAGGGTTGGTTATGTTGTTCGAATGAAGAGCTTTTGATGTTTGTAGAGTTGACTGTTTGAAATATTGGGTAGGCCAAGAAAAAAGTTCACTCGGTTTCGCCATAACATCATATGGAAAAACCAGAACCAACTCTTGGGCCAAGCCAGTGACAGGGACAGTCTCAGGGCAGGTCCAATGAACAGTGCACTACAGCAGACCCTGACTTTGTGGTTGAATTCATGTATGTTCATAGGGGAGCAGTGAGAACGTGTCAGGGTCTCCCTCACCTATTCTGCGTAGCTCCCTCGTCTTCGAGTATATTGTTCATGTAAACAAGGACTTCAAAATATAAAAGAAAATAAAAGTTAGAGGTGCAAAGCAGGTCCTACTGCAGATAATATTCTAGTCATGGCCCTGCTTTGTTTGTTTGTTGTTGTTGATGTTATTTTTTTTGTTTTTTAAAAATTTTTAATTGGAGAATAAGTGCTTTACAGTGTTTATATGTGTGTGTGTGTGTGTGTATCCCCTCACTCTTGAGACTCCTTCCAACCCCACCCACCATCCTATTCCTCTAGGTTGAAATCACAGAGGGCTGGGCTAGGCTCCCTGCGTTATATAACAGCTTCCCACTAGCTATCTGTTTAACACATGGTGGTGTAGATATGTCAGTGGTACTCTCAATTCATCCCACCTAACCCTAACTCTGCTTTGTTCCTGCTCCTCCTCCGTCCATCCCCCGGCTCCCACTTTTCTTCCAAATTGGCGGCTGTCTGACAGCTACTTCATCCTTCCTAAAGTAAAGGAAGGCACTGCTTCTGGTGCAGAAACCAAAGGTAATCAACAACGGAAGAGAATGACAACAAACGACAATCTAGTGCAACAAGCGCGGCAGGCTAACTGTGATGGGGATTCTCCAGAGAAACTTTACAGGCAGGAGCTGATAGTACCCTCTCAGTCATGGGAGGAGGCAGGGACGCACATTCCCCAAGAGGGCGGCCCCAGAGAGCATCAGACATGAAAGATGGCAGGGCTGGAATCTGAACCCAGAATGCAGGCTTCAGAGCTGCTGCTACATGCTGAAGTAGAAACTGTCCAAAGTCACATTTGTACACCAATCCTTACAATTTATAAATTTTTAACATGTCAACTAGTCACTTTTAATTTGTATTTCTTTGTATTTACAGGCAGGTGTATATTTCCAAATGAATTTTTTTTTTCACTATCAAAAAAAACAGTAAAGTAGGAACTATCCAAAGTTAGAGAAGCCTTCCTCGTCCCCGAGGGAGGGACCACACCACGCTGACCTTGACACCCCCGATGCTTAGCAGGGGCTCTGTACACAGCAGGCTTGGGGGTGATGGGCAGGCGTGAAAGGAGATTTCGCCAGAGTCACCACAGACATCATGAAACCCTAAGTGCCAAAGAAGAGAACAATGTCTTTCTTCTTTTAGATGATAATTGTGTTTTCCCATTCATCTATGGAAACAAAAAGCATTTCGACTGCACATACCAGGGTGCCATATACCCGTGGTGTTCCCTCGATGCAGACTATAGAGGAAGATGGAAATACTGCACTAATAAAGGTAAGCATGCAGCCTGTCCTCCTGCGAGAAGCACCTGGCTTCCCGGATGAAGGGGAAAAGTCCATAATTGTCTCCTAGAGGGAAGCCTCAGGCATCTCCTGATCCAACCCTCTGTGTTCCATTCCTGTTCCTTTCTCTCTTTTTTTGGGGGGGTGGGGGGCTATGCTCAGTCTTTGTTGCTGGGCCCAGGTTTTCTCCAGTTGTAGCAAGTGGGTTCTACTCTTTGCTGGTGTGTGGGTCTCTCGTTGTGGTGGCTTCTATTGTTGGGGAGCATAGGCTCTAGGCACAGGAGCTTTAGTCCTTGCAGCCTGTGGGTTCTGTAGTTGACGTATCCATACTTATTTTCTCCTTGGTGTGTGGAATCTTCCCGGACCATGATGGAACCAATGTCCCTTGCATTGCAAGGCATTCTTAACCACTGCAGCACCAGGGAAGCCCCACTTTCTCCTGATAACCCTAAAAATAATCCTCCTGCAATTAATGTTTTCACCTATCCCTTCTATTTTTTCAGACTATGCCAAATGTGTCTTTCCCTTTATCTATGAAGGCAAGTCATATGACACTTGCACAACAGTTGGGAGTTTTGCTTCGACCTATTGGTGCTCACTCTCTCCAGACTATGACCAGGATGGAGTTTGGAAGTATTGCTAGCAGTAAAAAGAGGTAAGAGTGTCCAGGGAGGATGGGTAGAAACAGGGGTAAGCAGGGAAGAGAAAGGGCTAGGTAAAGAGGTGGAGTCAGATGCCAGAGTGAGAAGGAGGGAGGAGGCACGGGGAGAGAGGGGATGAGGGAGAAAGATGCAGGGCAAAGAGTGAGGAGCAGAGGTTCACGAGAAGAACGATACAGATATGAGGATGAGGAAAAGGGGAAGGAAAGATGGAAACAGAGGAAGAGACAAAGGCAAAATGCCAGAGAAGCGGAGAGGCGAGTCCAGAAGAAAGAGAGGTTGCAGGATGACAAATGGAAGGAGGAGTATCTGGGGAGGATCAGTAGCAAGAGAAGATGGAGGGAAGGTGAGAAAGGGGTGGAGAGGCCAACACAGTCTTAGGAGCAGGCGTGAGACAGTAGGAGTCAAGATGGGATGAACAGAAAGCAAAGGAGAAACAGATCTTTGCCCTCTGTGGGGCTGACTGGAAAACAAAACAGACTTCATTAACACTGGTCCCAAAATTATGTTCAGTTATGGTCCAGTGCATTCACCCATGGCCATGGATGCAATCAAGCCTTTGAAACTTCAGTGGAGGAAATCAAGAACTCTCAAGCGAAGGTGATGCTCTGAGTGACAGAAGTGAAGTACTTTCCCTACCTCTCCACCATGTTCCCCCTGTGCATGGGTCCAATCAATAAACACTTTCTCTGAAGGTGTGGTCTTATTTTTTTTTCCTCCACAAAGAAACCTGTGTATCAAATGGGGTGGTCTCAGTGTGCTCCGGTTAACCAGGCAGGATTTTCTTGTTTTCCTTTCCCTTCCTTGGGGTCCCGATGGAACATCAAAGCACATCACAATTGTCCTTCCTGGGGGTCTGATTGACAGGTGAAGACCTGGTGGTAAGACCAGAAGTGGGGTGGGAGGAGAATCCCAGAGGGCACCAAGGGCCCGTGCTTGTCGTAAGAGATTTTTCTTTTCCCAGCTTAGCTGAAGTGTTATTTCTTCCTGGAGTTGTTCTCTGATTCCTTAGTATAAGGAGTCCCATCATGTCTTTTCAGTTTATCCTTTCTCTCCTTACAATTAAACTGCCCATCTCTCCAGAGGGACTGTAATTGGGGTGGGGGAAGACAAGATGGATTGTGTTTGCCCTGGTCTCAGTCCTAAATCCAGAATCTAACACATCCATAGGAATTTTAGACAAATATTTTTTCCATCACTAACAGGGCCTGATTGAGAGAAGGTTAAATTCACAGGTGTCAGAAATAATGAAGGGCCTGAAAAGACCTGATCACTAAATTTTACCCTGAAAAATCACGCAGTGCCTATCACAAAAACAGAAATATAGACCAACAGAATACGATAGAAAGCCCAGACATTAACCCATGCACCCATGGGTACTTTATATTTGACAAAGGAGGCAAGAATAGACAATGAAGGAAAGATAGTCTCTTCAATGAGTGGAACTGGGAAACATTTACAGCTACATGTAAAAGAATGAAATTAGAACACTTCCTAACACCATACACAAAGAGAAACTCAAAATGGACTAAAGACCTAAATGTAAGACTGGAAACTTGAAAACTCTTAGAGGAAAACACAGGCAGAACACTCTCTGACATAAATCACAGCAAGATCCTCTATGATCTGCCTCTTAGAGTCATGGAAATAAAAACAAAAATAAACAAGTAGGGTAGGGCCTAATTAAACGTAAAAGCTTTTGCACAGCAAAGAAAACTGTAAAGAAGGTGAAAAGACAACCTTCAGCTTGGGGAGGAAATAACAGCAAATGAAAAATTGACAAAGGATTAATTTCCAAAATATACAAGCAGCTCTTGCAACTCAATACCAGAAAAACAAACAATCCAATCAAAAAGTGAGCAGATGACTTAAACAGATATTTCTCCAGAGAAGACATATAGATGGCTAACAAACGCATGAAAAGATGTTCAACTTCTTTCATTATTAGAGACATGCCAATAAAAACTACAATGAGGTATCACCTCACACTGGTCAGAAAGGCCATCATCAAAATCTCTACACACAATAAATGCTAGAGAGGGTGTGGGGAAAAGGGAACCCACTGTTGGTGGGAATGTAGATTGATGCAGCCACGATCGAAGATCGTATGGTGATTCCTTGAAAAAGTAGGAATAAACCTACCACATGACCTTTCCATATCTTGTTACCAAAAGGTACGCGTGGGGAGTCTGGCTGCTTGCCGCTCAAAAGCCAGTAAACAGGCCAGGTTGGTGGAAAGGCAAGTTTGCTTTATTTCAGATGCTGGCAACTGGGGGTGGTGGCGTGGCGGACATCTGTCGAAAGGCTGACTCCCTACCTGACAAGCAGGGGTGAGAGTTTTATAGATAAAGTGTATGTGTGGGTTACATGCAGAAACAGTACCGTCATCTCTAAGAGTCATCTTCAAGTTGCTCATCAGTGGTCTGACCAGCATCATCTTGAATGTTTTAGGTGCAGTTAATCTTCAGTTCCAGGGTCTGTTTGTTCCCAATTCTTTGTGATCAGTCCTCGAAATTGTGCCAACTCAAGTCCTGGGTACAGTCTGGTCATCATGCAGTGAACCTTTCCACCTGGTGTTTTCGTATCTATAAGACAGCCCACAGGATATGGCTCAGAACATTATCTAGAGCCCCTGAGAAAGAACTAAAGGTCCTTGACTATGCTTAAAGACTACGTTACTATTATTTAGTCTCCTTAGACTGTTTTCGTTTCCGCATTTCTTATTTCTCTGATTAAACTTGTTCTTTGACTAAAGTTTTCCACAGGCAAAAGGCAGGCAGAAGGCATGGGGGTGGGGGGGTGGGGGTGGGCACAAGGATCATAGAGTCCTGCTCCGTTTCAATTTCAGTACTGGGCATATACCCAAAGGAAATCGTAATTGAAAAAAAAAAACACACATATAACTCAATATTCATTGCAGCACTATTTACAAGAGCTAGGACATGGAAGCAACCTTAATGTCCACTGACAGACAAATGGATAAAGAAGTTGTGGTACATACATACAATGGAATATTACTCAGCCATAAAAAGGAACACGTTTGAGTCGGTTCTAATAAGGTGGTTCAGTCGCTCAGTTGCGTCCGACTCTTTGTGACCCTGTGGACTATACAGTCCATGAAATTCTCCAGGCCAGAATACTGGAGTAGGTAGCCAGAGTGAAATAAGTCAGAAAAAGGAAAACAAGTATCGTATGCTAATGCATATATATAGAATCTAGAAGATGGTACTGGTGAACCCTATTTGCAGGGCAGCAATGGAGACTTAGAGAACAGACTTGTGGACACAGTCTGGGAAGAGAGGGTGGAAAAAAAGAAAGTAGCATGGAAACAAATACATTCCTGTATGTAGAATAGATAGCCAGTGGGAATTGCTCAAATCAGGGCTCTGTGACAAACTATAGGGGTGAAAAGATGGGGTGGGAGGTGGGGGGGAGGTTTAAGAGGGAGGGGACATATGTATACTTACGCTGATTCACACTGAGGTATGACAGAAATCAACACAATATTATAAAGCAATTGTCCTTCAATCAAAAAGAAATAAATTTAAATTAAAAAAAAAAACCACTCAGTACCTATTCCACTCAGCAGAATCCTTGGGACCTGGTGATAGACTTTCAGTCACCATCCAGGGAAGAGATACACAGACTTTTAATCACTGTGAAGCAAGGAGGTATGGATAGAATGCTTGTCCTCTGTGACTTAAGGCCAGTAACTCAGGGCTTCACTTGAAACCAGGAGGTAAAAATAAAACATAATTTTTAAGTTAAATAATAAAACGTTTTAACCGAAAATGTTTTAATAAAAATAAAGAAAAAGACACCAGGGGCTTCCCTGGTGGCTCAGTAGTAAGGAATCTGTCTGCCATGTTGGAGACATTGGTTCCATCCCTGGTCTGGGAAGATTCCACTTTTCCCAGAGCAACTAAGCTCACGTATTCCAACTACTGAGCCTGCTCTAAAGCCCAGGAGCTGCACCTACTGAAACCTGAAGTGCCCTAGAGCCTGTGACTTGCAACAAGAGAGGCTACCACAATGAGACGCTCCCGGACCACAACTAGAGACTAGCCCCCAGTTGCCACAACTAGAGAAAAGCCTGAACCGCAATGAAGACCCAACAGAGAAAAAAATTAAATGAATAAATAAAAAGTATAAATAAAACTAATGGGAGAGAAATCCAAAAAGGAGTGGAGATATACATGGCTGATTTATTTTGCTATGCAATAGAAGCTAACATAAGATTGTAAAGCAAGTATGTTGTTGCTGCTGTTGTTTAGTCACCAGCTCATGTCCAGCTCTTTTGTAACCTCCATGGACTGTAGCCCTCAAAGATCCTCTGTCCACGGGATTTCCTAGGGAAGAACACTGGAGTGGGTTGCCATTTCCTTCTCCAGGGGATCTTCTCAACCCATGAATTGAACTTGCGTCCCCTGCGTGGGCAGGGGTATTCTTTACCCCTGAACCACCAGGAAAGCCTAAAGCAACTATAATGCAATAGAAGTTATTTAATAAAAATAAATAAGCTCTATATCATAAATACTGTATGCTAACAACAACAAAAGAAGTAGACAGGAATTTCCCTGGTGGTCCAGTGGTGAACACTCTGAGTTTCCACTGGTCGTTGTACTAAGAAATCCCACTCTTAGTTGCTTAGTTGCTCTGGGAAAAGTGGAATCTTCCCAGACCAGGGATGGAACCAATGTCTCCAGCCTGGCAGACAGATTCCTTACTAGTGAGCCACCAGGCAGTGAGGCCCAGCGACAACCAACAAACAAAAAAAACCAGTAGATTCCCTGAGAAGCTGACAGATCAACTTGCCTTAGAATCAAGTTGGCTAATCAGCCAATGGCAGCATGAGGTTCTATGTTTGATTTCTAGCAGTTTCAGCCCAGCAGCTCTAGCAGAAAGGGATCAAGAACCTCTTAAGTCATTTAGGCAGCAGTTGGACTGAAAGTTGGAATTCCTGAGCTCCCCTCTTTCTTTCACC